CTACTTACTTTACCACCACTTGTCGCCGCCCCCCCCACATTTTTCCATGTGATTGTCTCACTGATTTGGGGCTGGTGGGAGTACAAATATCCACGTCTGAAACGTACGCACGGCCGGTACCACTTTGGACATGTAGTTCCAAAAAATTGTTTAAAAACTACATTTTATGCCGTGTACTACGTGATTGTATGGTAACGTAGCGGGGAACGCTTCATGTTCGGCCTTGTTTTCACCGCTGGCCGCAGCCGACTTGCAAGACGTCACCACCGCATCGAAAGGTAAGGCAAGTCGAAACGTACAGCTTTGGATCCCGGCCGGAGAGTGTTGGTGATCAAGCAAGCAATAGTCAAAGATTTGTGAAAAAAAGACAATATTCAAATATTGATTCTATCGGTAACGGGGGGTAGTTGAATGTTGATGCACAAGTACGTAGCTTTGTTGTTTTTAATACGAAATGCGCCGAACACTCCTTTAATAGCGCCCGGCCGATCGACCCATGGAGAGCAACAATCATACAGGCGGAGAACTGGGCGGAGTATTTGGGTGTAGAGGTGCTACCGAATTTAAAATTTGACACCGAAACCAATTGACACAACAACAAAAGACTACTGGGATCAATGGGACTTGCAATTCCGAACAGGAGAAAGTGACAAGTTTGACTGCGTTTCAAGTAATCTCTCGTTATGTGATAGATGTTTTTGTCACAAAATCAAAGGAATAAACTTATAAGTACAGTCTGTTCAGAGGAAAGAAATACTTCCTTCTCGGGGTCCATGTTCTGGAAAGCTGTCCTCAGCGCTGCGCATGCATGCCACGGCCCTCTCTGTGTTCTTCAGCTGTAGGTATACTTTGCCTGTCGGCGCGCCAAACACCCCACCCACCGGCCGGGCGGTAAGATTTCATCAAAGACTACATTTTAAGTCAACTCCGCCCCTATCATTGTAGCTTGCCGAACAGTCGAGTAGGAGTACATCTAGCTGGAATTTTCACGTCGTACTGGCTGGTGTAGCCCGCTACAAAGTAATTTCCTGTGGCATCTATCAAGATTTAAAAATATTTGTGATACGAAGTGAAACATGGTTAACAATTTCTGAACCTTTGAAACGACATGGGCATAATCTTTGTTGAAGATTCCTGAGTTGAACTCAAGCCGGAAGTGTAGTGGAAATGATGACCATCAGGCGAGGCACAACTGTTATGTTATCACATGTTACGTTACGACGCAAGAACGTTCACGGCTTGCGGACCATTTGTATGTGTACTTACGGGAGGTTATATTTTTGCCGGGGTTCCACTGAGATCGGCGCCGGCTAGCTGGGGAACGATCCTGTCGGCATGACAAAGCGCCGGGTGTCATTGCCAGAAACCTACATTTTCTTACCGTGGGTGACTTGACTTCTTCTTTTACCGCAACTTGGTGTCAATATCGACGAAAGTCACAGGAAATATGTTCATTTATTGAAGTTTAACTTTATTTCCACTCGTCAATATTTTTATCTAAACATGCTATGGACGAATCGATGTCGTTCCAAGCTCCCCGTGCCGGTGTTCCGCTATATTCCTGGGTCGTCCACGGATTTTTTGGCGGAAACCTCAAATAAAGTACGCACCGCGACTTTGGCGACGGCCCGAGACACTTCTGGGATTTTGAAAAATGTAAAAAGTGCGTACTATATTCGGGAATTTACGGCGTATTTCTTGTAATTCGGTACTACGCGACGCCATATTTTACAAAAGTTTTTCGGTAGCCCTCCCCCCAGGCCGATTTTTTTTTCGATGGCCCTCACCCCATCTCAAATTTTTTTCCATGGCCCTTCCCCCAGGCCAAAAAAATTTTCAATGCCCCCCCCCCAGTGCACCAGCCCTCTCCGGTAAATATCGTACAGTCCCTTAACAAGGCCTCTCTCTCGGTCATAGCATGTGTTTATCCATGTAATTCGATAATATGTAGCTTATAGAATTGATTATCCCATGTGGAGATAAGGACGTCCACATGTTATCGTATGACGGAGGTTAGGACGGGTCTCTGTGCTGTAAAAGTGTCTTTTCAGAATTAAACAAAAAAAATGAAAAAGAAGACATGATGTTAAAACTTTTAACCTTCAACGAAAAATAACGTTCAAATGAAGAATCACTGAAGCGGCTGAATCGCTATCGCACAACGTTTGACATCTCTTCACTTACACCCCATTCCTGACACATTGACATCACTTGGGTAACCACGCCGAGTGACGATGATTGTCACTAGCGCATAGCACATAGCGTATATTTATTTGTGCTAAATTTGTGTTTTCTTGCTGTGTTAACATAGCCTGTGTTACACAAGAGGTTAATGACCCCCACCCACTTCGGGTCGACGACCGCCAGGAGCGCGATTAGTCGGGCTATGTTTAACTCCATGCTGCACAGGTTTGTGCACACGCACGTGCCAAAGTAGTGGGTGCAATTCTGATGCATTCCGCCAGGGGGCGCAGCTGCTTGGAAGTCTTGCTGTTCGTGAGGCTGTGGATGGGGGGAGTTCAGTAGCCTGACGTCCTAGACAGGCAAGGTAGACTGGTAAGGTAGCCTGGTAAGGTAGACAGCCCAGGTTTTTCCGTAAACCCGGCGTGGCATAGTGAACTTCTGACCGACTTAGGGACCAGCTTGTGTCCAGGGGCCGTGCTTGTATCCAAGCATATCTTTCGGTAATCTCCAAGCAGATCCCTTTCGGTGGCAAAAAGACAGTATCAAATTGGCCAGGCAGTATCCATTAACCAGAGAAGGTCGCTGGTCACCGACAGGGGTAGCGACAAAACAACGGCCGCATATAAAAAGCTAACGATCAATCCCACAACCTCTGCTTGGAGAGTAATCTTTCGGTGCACAAGACAATTGGCCGGACAGTATGCAGTATCCACACTGTCTTGCCACCGAAAAGATATGCTTAGACTCAGGCTTACAGATTAGGATCCGCATGCAAATTGTGGTGAAGGTGAAGGAGAAAGGGGGGCGTGTCAGAGTGAACTTTTGACCGACTTAGAGACCCACAGAGTTGGCCCTTGGACTCCTACAATCCAAACAAGTACTCAGCATTGACGGAGTTTGTTGTACTTTTCAAAATGTTCTTTTCAGAAGATTTTCTTCATTCCAGGCTAAAAGTGGCAAACACTTCCCAAAGAAAAGAAAAACATTTGCAGCAACATTTTTTTCAGCATGCAATAATGGTGTGATATTTCAGGCACAGTAAGACTGCAGGACAGCCTTGCCCTTTGTGGCAATTTTCATCTAAACTCAGTTACAAGGTGGGTGGCCATGGCCCTGTAGTCACAACATTTTTTGGTTAGGTCATAAAGTTTTTTTTACTTATTTTGGTGATTACTGTTTTTTGGTGTTTTCCATTTTTGCACTGCCTTTCTTGCTCACTTAACAGACAATGATACATTTATAAACTATGACAGACTAGAAAATCACAATTTCTTAAATCTTAATTATGTTAATACAGCATGAAAACCTGTAATGGTATCAATTGTTTTGTTAATTAATAAATTAATGCAAGTATTTAATTTAATTTTTAAAAAGTGTATATTTGTATATTTCTGTTCTTATACTTTGTGTTATTTTTGTCTGGACTCCAGGAAAACTAGTGATGCATTACTAATGAATATCTTAGGTTTCAACTCCAAAATGCTCATATTTTGCCCCCAACAGTTGAGGAAAGTCTTTTTCTTCCTACTTGGTACAGTTTTTCCATCTATCAATGCAGTGGTTACATTAAAAGTTCAAAATGCATTGTTTCAATATTAACCCAGCCTTTTGTGTTGACTTCATGGCTCCTATCGTAGCATTTGGGGCTGTAATAGGATGCCTAGACCTGTTTTTATTTTTTTCTAAAAAGATTCGAGAACCAACTAATTAAGATGGTGTGGCCTTGATAAACCAAACATCACGTAGATTATAATTTATAGTACTCTAATGATCTTCTCCCTGCTTTCCAGTTCTGGGACCGATAGACCCTGCTGAGCTAGGTCGAACCCTGACCCATGAACACCTCATGATCGACGCCTCTCCTCTGGGAGTTGGCATCCCCCCTCCCCCCTTCCTCCCCAACATGAACAGTCTGCCCTTCAACATGGACAACCTTGGATTCATCAGGCAGTTTCCGTAAGTCTACAGTAGTGGTAGCTTTGTTTTAACTTACCTGTGTGTGTGTGTGTAATCTGTGTGTGGATGGTGCTCAGCACCAAGGACACGTGTATTTGTGTGTGGATGGTGTTCAGCACCAAGGACAGGTTTGCCTGTGTGTGGATGGTGTTCAGCACCAGGGAGAGGTATGTTTGTGTGTTGATGGTGTTCAGCACCAAGGACAGGCATATTTGCATATACGTGTGTGGATGGTGTTCAGCACTAAGGACAGGCATATTTGCATATATGTGTGTGGATGGTGTTCCACACCAAGGACAGGTGTGTTTGTGTGTGGATGGTGTTCAGCACCAAGGACAGGTATGTTTGTGTGTGGATAGTGTTCAGCACCAAGGACAGGCATGTTTGTGTGTGGATGGTGTTCAGCACCAAGGACAGGTATGTTTGTGTGTGGATGGTGTTTAGCACCAAGGACAGGCATGTTTGTGTGTGGATGGTGTTCCACACCAAGGACAGGAATGTTTGCCTGTGTGTGGATGGTGTTCAGCACCAAGGACAGGCATGTTTGCCTGTGTGTGGATGGTGTTCAGCACCAAGGACAGGCATGTTTGTGTGTGGATGGTGTTCAGCACCAAGGACAGGCATGTTTGTGTGTGGATGGTGTTCAGCACCAAGGACAGGCATGTTTGTGTGTGAATAGTGTTCAGCACCAAGGACAGGCATGTTTGTGTGTGGATGGTGTTCAGCACCAAGGACAGGCATGTTTGTGATTCTGTGTAAAATAGCCCAAGAAGACTACTGAAGGGACTGATAAAATCTGGTCTGTGTTAGCAGGTGGTCACTATTTACAGGATTTTCAGTAATGCAAAAAGACTTGTAGTGAGGTCTTTTTGAGCATGTGAACTTCACCAATAAAAGTGGTTAACTCCTCAGTTATTGAGTTATTCCATTGTTTGCTCAAAGATCATACAACAAAACTTCATCAGTATTAATCAACAACAAATCTTACTCATTCTCCATTTTTAAGCTTAAAACATTTGATCTTTTTATTTCCTATGTCCCTAGATGGAGCTACAAGCCAAACCTGACCCTGTACGGGGAGGAGCAGCACGTGATGGAAGAGCTGAAGTTCTTCAAACAACATGGCGGCTCCTCCATGGTGGAATGTACCATTGTGGGTCTGGAGAGGGACATGAACATGATGAAGAGAATGGCAGAGGAGTCTGGGGTCAACATCATCTCTGGAACAGGTATGGGCAGCACATCAGCAGAATGCACTGCACCTGTGTGAAACCTGTAATGTATTGTGCATAGTACTTTTAAGGTCATGTTTGGATATTTAAGGCTGACATTCTGTCTGTACTGTAGTTTTCAAATGTTGTGTCGGAAAACATATCATCTGCAATATTGTTATGCAACATTGACCAAAGGTCCAACTAAAACCATTAAAAAAAGGGTTTTGTGCATGCGCAGTATGCTAGTATTTAATCAAAGCCCGGATATGTATGTATGTATTATACATGTATGTCACATGGATTTGTTTGGCCAATCAGCACACCTGTTCAAATTCTGAACAAATATTATTACCCAATGACAGATGGAAAGAATATGTGCAGGCCAAGTCTTTTTGTAGGAGCTTTTTGATGAGTTTTAATGTCTATGAAGGAACTAAATATAAGTGTTTCTTTCTTCCAAAAGGTTACTACGTAGATGCTGCGCTTCCGGCAGAGGTCCACAGCGCAACTCAGGAGCAGCTGGTGGCAACCATGGTCCAAGACGTCACCCAGGGGGCTGCTGGGACTGGCATCAGGTGCGGGGTAATCGGGGAGATTGGAACGTCCTGGCCAATTACAGGTCTGTACATCTGACTGCCATCATCCATCGTAGACTAACTGTATTGCTTCAGTTACCATGGTGACAGATCTCTGGTTCAGGTCATTTGTTTAGAAAAAAAGAAGAGGAAGAAGAAACAATCATTTGTTTTCCTTCTGCAAAGGTAAACATAGATAGCAATTGTATCTCTCAGTGATACTTGTTGTTTCTTGTCTCCATAGCAACAGAGAAGAAGGTGCTTGTTGCCACGGCAGCAGCTCAGACCCAGCTGGGCTGTCCCGTCATCATCCACCCTGGTCGGAACCGAGCGGCGCCGGCCGAGGTCATCCGCATCCTGGCAGAGGCCGGGGGGGACATCAGCAGGACGGTCATGTCACATCTGGACAGTACGTAAGGCCACACACACACACACACACACACACACACACACACACACACACACACACACACACACACACACACACACACACACACACACACACACACACACACACACACACACACACACACACACACACACTCACACTCACACTCACTCACACACACACACACACACACACACACACACACACACACACGCAGACACTCACACACACACACAAACACACACACACACACACATACACACACACAGACACACGCACGCACGCACGCAAACACACACACACACACACATTCGCATACACATTCGCATCCTGGCAGAGGCCGGGGGGGGGGGACATCAGCAGGACGGTCATGTCTCATCTGGATAGTATGTGATTTTTTGCATAAAGATTGTTTGGTAAGAATGTAAGACATTTTTCTCTGTTTGTAAATGCCATAACAGAGGTTGGAAGGGACAGTCATGTCATATATAGACAGTACTATGTGTATGTTCTTTTGGTTATTTTTTATGTAAAGATTGTTAAGTACACCTTCATGAGCTACATGTAAGCAAATTTGGGAAACACTCAGGCATGACATTGGGTCAAGGTCCCAGAAAAGGTTATCTCATTTCCTGTCTTCAGTTCTTGCTGTGACAGAGAATACATGATATGGTATGCACAATATTTACAGGTTCATTTACAGGGCACATTTTTTAATTAAATTGCAGACTAAACTGCTTCCCTTGTACCCAGGGACCATCTGTGACCACGATGAGCTTGCGGAGTTTGCGAAACTGGGCTGCTATCTGGAGCTGGACCTGTTCGGGATCGAGGTGTCGTATTACCAGCTGGGCGACTTCGACATGCCCAGCGATGCCCAGAGGATACAGATGATCAAACATGTGCTGGACGAGGGGTACGAGGATCGCGTGGTGATCGCACATGACCTGTACACCAAGCACAGGCTGGTACGTTCTATTCCAAATGATCTCATGATATAATGAACGCTATTTTGCCTGGAGTCCAACAGGAAATACAGGAAATACATTTTATTTCATTTCAAAACCCCCCCCAAAAAAATACAATGAATGAAACATAACAAAATTGTACATTGGGTAAATCTATTGATGTGCAGGCTGGTACTTCATCTTCATCTTTGCCGGGGCTCTAAGATGTTGTACAAGCCCCGGCTACACCCCCATATAGCCCCTATTGGGGCACTTTAGGGGGGGGC